AAAGCAGTTTTCTGAAACTCTTTTAAACCCGATCGGCAAGTTTATATATATATATAGCACATGTCATACACTATGGCGATTCAAAGTGCTTTATATAGAAAGGAATAAAAATAATCACAAAATAAAAGCAAGGAAAATTAAAACAGTTATTCAAAATGCTTTACATGGAAGGAATTAAAATCACACTATGGCAATTGAAAGTGCTTTGCATAGAAAATAAGCACAAAATAAAAGCAAGGAAAATTCAAACAGTTGTAAAAGGAATTAAAAAAGATAAATGATAAAGTTATAAAACAAATTAGAGTAAAACAAATTAAAGTATTAAGAATTAAAAAGATTATACATAGAATAAACTTCTCATCTTTGCATATATAGTTTTCAAGCATAGCATCAGTTCTGGCAGGTCACGTTAGTCAAGCTTGTATCAGCTGACTCTCAGCTGATCCATTTCAAGGAATACGATGCCTATCATAAGCTCCTTCAGTATTAGCAGCTATCACGTTTCTCAGGAGCTAATTACCCTCCTCCATCCCCAGCGCCTCCTCTCGCCCAGTCAGGATTTTGCATTCTGATTCCCCTTGAATCACAATAAATTCTCGAATTATGTTGTACTTTAAAATCTTGAATTAATTATCTGTATACATTCATGTTGGTTCTGTTCTGCTGTTCATTGCTGCTCTCCCTGCTCTTATCTATGCTAGACTGCATGGATGCGCAGGGAGTTTTCGGCCAGAACGGAACCATACCGCCAATCCAAACTGTATGCTAATTGCCAATCGTATTTGACAGTGGTCCTGACAGAACTCGTGTTCACTGCCCCATCAGTCCGCGTTGTGTCAGCCAGTAGGCGTTCAGTTAGCCTGTTAAGGTTTCGAGACCTGGTGCCACCCAGCCGATTTATGTAGGTCACCACTGACATGTTGTCCGAGAGGACCAAAACATGGTGACCTTTTATGCAGGGACAAAAATGCCTCAGCGTGTTGTCAACTTATCATTTCTAGACAGTTTATGTGTAGGAGCTTCTCTCGTTCTGACTATTGGCCAAAGAACAGTTTGCCCTCGAGCAGCGCTCCCCATCTCGAGGAAGTGGACACCACTTTTTACACCTTCGAGGAAGTCCTGACTGGTACCATTCGAGTGCTCTCCAAGGTTTCAGAGCTGTGATGCATTTCTTATCGACCTTGAGGCGAAACAGACTGGAGGCGCATGCCTGTGGTGATACTTGCGTGTTTAGACATAACTGCAACGGGAAGCATGCGAAGCAGACCCAACTGGAGTACTGATGATGCTGAGGCCATGAGACTCAGCATATTCTGAAACCTTCTGAGTGAGACTATAGTGTCGCAGTGGAAGGATTTCATGATGCGCTGAATGTTCAGTCTGCACTCTGGCGACAGTTGTGCTGTCATAGACAGTGAGTTCAGTTCTGTGCCCAGAAAAAATGTCTCTCAGCGACGGTGAGAGAGGCCATGGTCCGGGCAATGGCCTGTGCAGCGAATTTTGCAGGGCGAAGAACCAGGTCTGTAGCGCTCCTTAGATCTGGCACGCTGATAGCTTCCGGTCCTTCCTCATCCAGTTTTGGAGATGGTCGGCCTGGATTATCTGCAGTATGGCTATTGAATGCAATGTCGACACAGCATGCCCAGTGGCGGGATAAGCATGGGTGTGCATGGCGGAAGTAGTTTGGCAAGCTTTTGAAAGTAACGCCGTCTTAGATCACTGTCTAGCAGAGGGTGGGCAAAGATGGGCTGCTACAGCTTCTTCCACAGGAGGAAGAGACTGGTATCCTCTGTCTTTAACACCATCCAGCACGGAGAAGGCTGCTGAGACAGAAGTGCGCACCTTGGCTGAAAAGAGGGGTTCCAGGACTTCACGACTTCTTCATGAAGATCAGGAAGAAAAGACACGGGCCTAGAAGGCGGTGGGACGCGGTCCTTTTGAAGGAAACATCTGTCCAGCCGATTGCATGCAGGCTGCGCGGGCACCTTCCACTCGAGGCCGAGGCTCGCCATGGCCTGTGAGAGCAGACGCATCAGTTCAGACTCAATGCTTGCCCATTTCCCTGATGACTCGAGGGCAGAGGGGGGGAGGTCCACGGATCTCGCCCACTCCTAACTGTCTGACGCCAGGATAGAGCAGCTGGCTTCCTCCATAGAAGCAGCTACCTCGTCATCATTGATGACGGAAGCGGAGGTAGATGGCGGCCGACGTCCGTCGGGGAGCGACCCGAGTGAAGCTGGCGAAGCTGGCAGGCGAACCGGCGAGCTGTCACGGGTTGAAGAAGGCTCGGGGACCTGGTGAGTATGGCACTTTTTAAGTTTTTACGGCGCGGCACTGTAGCGGGTATAAGTGCAGTCTCGGTGAAGGATGCCATGCGAGTCCTCAGAGTCACCATAGGCAATAGCTCGCAGTGAGGGCAACAGCCACCCATTGGATCTGATGTCACCAAGGGCCTCTCTCCCAATTAATTTAAAATAATTAAAAGAGATAAACTGGCAAAACACTGGTGTATCATATTTTGTACAGCTGCTTGTTATACTGTGAGATTATCCCATTTGGATTGTACTGTGTATATGGTGATCTTTTGACGTGACTAAAAATCTATTTGATGTCTCCAATAGACCCGATTTTTGCCTAAAATCGGACAGGAGGAGCTCTAGGACTGACTCCTTAGGTTCACTGCTTCAGCAGTCTACACCCCAAAAAAACCCATTCGTTCAGAATGGAGTGGATCCAGTCCGCACCCCACAGAACTCACCACTCAACCACAGACCCAGGTCATCAGCATGGTTTCATCTCTCAATTTCTCCAATTAAGTAATTTATGTTTGTCTCTTATCCAATTTTCAGTGCCCATTGAGTTTAGAATCAGAAATAAAGTGAAGTGTGATCAGTCGGACGCACAGTGGCACAGTGCTCATTCAGGAAATGCACAGCTAAACAGATGTGTTTTGAGTCTGGATTTGAATGTGACTACTGTAGGAGCACATCTGGTCTCTTCTGGAAGCTGATTCCAGCTGCGGTTGGCTTAGTAGCTAAAAGTGGACTCACCATGCTTAGTGTGAACTCTTTGTATTTCTAGTTGACACGATTGTTCGCGGCTCCCCCCGCTGCATTGGTCTGGTTTCACACTCAACTTGATTCTATCGAACTCTGGTGCGTTTGCGTGCATATTACGTCATCACAAACGTGCAAGGTGACGGCATATAGAAAACAGAACGCAGGTCAATATTGTTTTTTTTATTAATTCACTACTATTATGCACAGTTGAGTGAACAATACAGGTTGACCGTGCGTGTGTAACATAAGGTGGCCTTCTGCTCCTTGCAAACGGACTCTTTTGAGGAGACTTTGTGGATTTCCAAATTTGGTGCCATGATTTCACAAGCAATGTATGAATATACTGCAGGCTCACTCTCGCTCGTATCCAAGGTAAATCATCAGCACTATCATCCCTTACAAGTGTTTTATTTAACTGAATACATCACAATAAGCTAAAAGCCATGCACAGGTCACTTTACTTCCTGAACAAGTGTGCACCCGAGTCCATGCTGGCGAACCGAGGCATGGTTGGGGAGCAACTGGACTCAGACCACCTCCTCCAGGTAGTCTCAGGTTCCATACCCCAGTGCACACCCGGGTCCTATGACAGCGTTTACATAAGAGATTTTTCATGCGAACCATGCCCCGTTCTGAACTAAACTGACAGTGTGAAAGCCCCCTGAGAGTGTGAGAAGGAGCTGTCCATTAGCTAACAGCAGGATCAACTTTATGACCCTCTATGGGCTTTCCCCTTGAACTTATCGAACATTATGCTTCCACGTCCCCCCGATTGCTTCTCCTCCTGTCTGTACGCCAATTTCTCTACTATGCGACAGAGAGCCGCGTGTTATGGCGTCAGCCTATTTTTACAAAAACTGCTTCTACGGGGCCATAATGTAAGATACAAGGTAATGGAGCCTTTTATACATTGTCGTGTTTCTTTAGAAATAAACAATGGACAAATGAAGTCTTTAAACGCCTCAGATGTAAAGTTATTCACGGTCAAAGTGACGCCAAAATGTATGGGAGTCAATGGAATGCTAACAGCAGGTGAAGGCTTGCTAGCCAATGGCGGCCCCCAGGGAGACTTCAGTTTCCGGCTGGTGGATTACCCCTTTGGTTTCCGGCTGATGGGTTAACCCATTGTACCATATAGACTTGTACATAAAGGAATGTGCATGCTCATGCCTCAAGCGTGACACTTGTCACCCCACCTAAATGTGTGGCCCGCCCCATCATCCAAACTGCACTCTGGGGTTACTCGTTGGGTCTGCATCAATTTATTTTTATTTTTTTATTATTTTATTATTATTATTACTCAGTAAGGGATATGATGTAGCAATACAGTATTTCAAACAAAACGCACTTATGTAAAAGTAAAATTACAGATTTTAAAAACTACTTGAAAAGTAGAAGTAACCTACTACTACACACACACACACACACACACACACACACACACACACACACACACACACACACACACACACACACACACAAACTAGCCTACTCAATTATGTAACTTTCCACCTCTGGCTATACGGCAAGTGCATGCAAACGTGAACGCACTTGATGCTTTCGTGTGTACCACACAGGGGAAATAATGAATAATATCGCTCTCTTTACACAAAGCTATGACTTTTGAAGAACTTGATCTATAGGCTATATATTGGCAGGTTATTTCATCAACATTTATTGTCACTGCAAGAAAAAAAAGATTTATCAATACATTTGGATGATTAATCTGTGTTCCACATGACAGTAATTCATCCAGTTTTGAAACGACATGAAGATAAAATAAATAAATAAATAAATAAATAGCCTGCTGCCTACCAGAAATATCATTTTTGACTGAACCCTTAGCCTAAATAGGAACAACAACCAATGAACTGTTCAAAAGGAAAGTCAAAAAGCAACTGGTTTGTAGTAGCCTACGTCAGGTATCCAGAATATTGTCCTCTCTGATGCTCGTTTCAGAACGCAGATTAAACCAATGACAGACGAAGAGAAAACCCCACTGGTTATCCACGCGCGTTGCCCACCCCGCATGCTTTTTCAGAAAGCCAACATTATCCATCTGTCACTTACAGACGCTCAGCACACGTGATTTGGTTGATATAGGTGGGCTGACTCGAGAACAAGAGGACTATCTGAATAGCAACTTTACTGGATCGAGTCCATGCGTGGAATATTTCAGCGCATCGTGAATGGTAAGAGATCCGGATCGTCCTCTCGTGAGTGTCCGTTCCGATCTAAATTCGTTCGTTAGTTTTTTTTGTTGTGTGTCTTCCGTGTAAATTATAGCCCACTCGCAATACTGATAATACTAACTTCTTGCAAATGCTTGATAGTCTACATCCTTTGCCGGAGCTTGGGCAAGAAGCTGTGTCAGCGGAGGCTGTGAGTGATGCTCGTGACAGATGTGGCTGGGTTCAGTCTTACAACTAAACTAGAAATGCAAACTGCGAATAGCTCAGTCCTGATTCTGATCAGTGAAGTCTAAAATATTGAATAGGTTATTTGTGTAATTAAAGTGGCATCATTAAGAAGTTAAGTATGATTAGTTTTATAAGTGTAATATTTAAATCAATTTTAAATCACTTTTAACCGGATTAGCATATACAGAAAAAAATATTATGCATTGTATTGTTATCAAGCATGCTGTATCTATAAAAATATTGCAAAGTGGACTAAACTGCACTGGCAGTCTTACTATTGTCCCCTACCCTAGTCATAATGGTCTATTGGCTGGTTTTAAAGGGATTTTGGGTAGCTACTTTTCAGCAGGTTAGGCTTAAAAACCATAAATACCTGGGTCAGGATATGAGACTATCTTAATAAATCAGCAAACCAGCTAAAGGCAAACCATTTTAAGCTATAATGCACTATAGACTTTTTGATGGTTATTTATTGAGCGATTATTTATGCTTTTTGGGATATTATTGATTTGTCTCTGGCATTAGTGTCTTGCCTATAGCTATATTGACCATAAACACACATTAACCTTGAATATTACTGTGCCTGTAGGCATATAGACACACAGAGAGAGTTTGGACACATATGAATAACATACATTCTTTCATGAATCCTTCATATCTCTCTAGTCTTATTAACATTTTAATGGTAAATTTGCAAGGGAATAAATCCATTTGCTCGTAATAAAAACAAAGGTTAAAAGTCTTTTCTTGATTCTATTCAGGGTGGTCAAAAATGTGCTATAGACTTATCATGTATTGGTTGAGAACCTTTTTTATTTTATTTTATTTTGCAGGGAGTAAACTTAAGTTTTATATTGTGGTTGAATTTTTGTACTCCTAAGTATTCAAACATTTTATTAATTCTCTAACTCATTTATTAGGTGAGGTGAAAGCATCTGTCATCTTTGTAAAGAGCAGATTTAAAGCAGATTAATACAGTATATTCACAAGGTCAAGAGACCCAAAGACATTTACAGGGGAGAAATGTGATGGATAAATATATCAATTTTCTTTCTGTAGCACTTTCATGATAGTGCATGATTGTGCTGGTGCTTGATTGTGTTGGTCGATGTGGCTGCAGCGATTTTGTCAAATGGCAGAGAAAGCTAATCGTAGCTCTCAATGTGTGCACACTGATGGAAATAAATTCCCCCCCTATTTTCCCAATATGGTAATCAGTTAGTTAGACGAAAAGCAAATTCATAAGAATTTATTTTACAAGAGAAAACCCTGAAAGTACTATAAAAGCTGAAGCCATTTAGGCTTTCAAGATCTCTGTGATTGAAGAGAGAAAGACTGTCTTTACTGGAGTGGAGTCTATATCTGAAGTACATGTTGGATTGAATCTTTTTATTATTGTTATTTCAAGAGCCACCACCATAATGTGTTATTGGCCTCTTTCTTGTAAATTAAAGTGCAGTCGGCGAGGTTCACAAAAATGTGACCAGCAGGTCACATACATCTGTAAGATTAATAGATTCAATACATTGATCGTCACTGGAACAAAACAATCTTATCAGTCTCTTGATGGTGCTTAATAAAACAGCTCTCTTGTGCCAGTAGCTATGCTTCAAAATAAAAATAAAGTTTCCAAAAGGCGTTTTTACCGCAATTTTTGTCCCCAAAAGAACCATTCACTGAGGACATAATCTAAAGAACCCTTTGCCACTATAAATAACTTTTGTGGAATGGAAAGGTTCATAGATGTTAATGGTTCTTCATGGGACCATAAAAGCCAGTTAAAACCTTCATTTTTAAGAGTGTGCTGCAGTGGTGACTATCCCCTCTCAGGGACTAATGAAGAGCACAGGGGAACCACCTCATTGAATGCTCAATTAGCAGGCCTGGCCAGCAAGAGCTTTTTCATGCACAGTTCAAGGAACCTGAGGCAACCAACACGGCTGTTCATTGATAAGGAGTTTGTTGAGTGCTTGATTGTCATATCAGTAAATGTATGCCCTACAACAATCTGTTTGAAATTCTGAAAACATCCAGAATTATCATGCTACATTTTTTTTCTGACATGCCTGTTAATTTATATTAGGTGCAAAAGAGAAAGTGGAATATGGGATTTTTGCTTCTTACTTTTCCTCATACAAAATCACTGATACTGCAGCAGACCATATCAATTCATGGAATAACAGAGAAAATTGTACTTGGAGGCCATCACTGCCAATTTCGTGCCAGCTATGATTGATGAAATGTTTCTTAACGGCTGGCTCAAGAGAAACATTTGGCAACATACATCGCTGCTAAAATAGGCACTGCATTATTTAAGATGGTATTTTTCATCATTTGAAGAGAAATGAGACTGTGATGAGAGGCAGAGAATATGTTACAGATATTGGATTTCTAATAGCAACACCTCAGCCAGCGTGAACTGGAAACTGCAGAAACGCATTGATTTGGAGAAGGTTTGGGCTATTTGAAAGTGGAACGGTTATTTTTATTTTTTTAGCTGAGGAGAGACCAACAAGCTTGGGTTGTCGTCTATGACTAACACTGAGATGCAATTCTAAAAGTTTTGAATTTAATTTGAGGTATTCAGAGGTAGAAAAATTCACATTATTGTTTTGAAGCACATGCTACTGGACAGATCTTTGACAAAACTAAAAATGTTTAGTCATTACAGCTTATTCTGGCCAAGAACTGCTTGCTTGGATAGGAACAGTGTTATTTGTAAGATCACTGAGATACTATTGTAGTTTTTTTTATATTATTTTAATATTTTCATTTTATGTAAAACAACATGTCCGCATTTTTACATGCTTTGGAAAATTTGGAATTTGAAAACTATTTGAATTATTTCTAACTCAGATGTATCAAACTGGTCATTTGTTTGCTAGGCTCATATGAGCCACAGAAATCATTCTGCTGTAAACTATTAAAAAGCAACTGCACACAATATGCCAGAAATGGCAGCCTTTATTACTGTGGTTACGGTTTTGCACTTATTTAAATGAGGAAATTGTACGGTAATAGGGCCAAGTAGCCTGCTCTGTGATTGAATAGAATAATCAAAATATGTATTAAAGTCCCAATTCCAAATGACTCCTTGTTTAGGTTTTAGCTCCCACATTGATAATGCATCTCACATCTGCCTATTTGTGATGGAACTCCACAAGCACTCAGTGAGATGATTATCAAATGCAAAGCAGAAACACTATTTTGGTGCATACTTAAAACAAATTTTCTTGATATGCGCTTGCATTAAAGTCTAAAAATTGAGAAAAAAAAACCCCAACAAAGACCAACAAAGAAAAGTGTAATCCTTCCTAAATGCTATATTATTATAGTAAAGAAAAGCCATGCAAAATAAAACTAATTGTAAGTGTGCATCCTTTCCTCACAGAGTGAAGAATGTGATGGTAACGGAGCAGTATGGAGTGCTCGTGGAAGACACTACTGCTGCTCGTGTGCACATCCTTGGGGGTGCAGTACACTGCCATCCGCTCTCTCCATGACTCTTTCAGTGGCCCATGCCAAGACTCCACCCACTGCCAAGGACGACAGGGTAAAGGTGAGTCACTGTCCTGACTCCTGTAACATGAAGAATTCGATTTTCACAGTGACATTTAACATTGTATGAACTTTCCTCCAGAATAGTACTGTAACCATCAGAATGGAAAATGAAAATTCCAAGCGGAAATGTGTGTTTTTTATTCAAATAGCATTAGGTTTGCAATACCCTACTGATGGATTTTATTTGCATGTATTTTTAATTAACAAATCAACAAGGTTTCATTTAAGCAATCTAGACTTATAATACCTTCATTTTTTTCCAAACAATGATATCAAAATAATTAAAAAACAACCTGTTTTAATCGATAGTTCTTTTCAGCAAGTACAGTAGTATTAGGCATAATTTATTCAGTTAAAGCTACAATACCTAAGATTTTATGCCGCTAGAGGGCGCTACATTCAAAACAACAACAACGGCTTTGCTTGATGACGCTGTGGAGGAACGCGGAATGATGGGAACTGTTGTTTTCAACTCCACCGTGGATAGATCAGTCAGACGGGAATCGAAAATTAGTTGTCATGGATGAGGTAAAGTTCGATTTCTATAACTGTTGCATTTAATGACATGCTTGTTTTTCATTAAACTGAAATAACCGCAAGAAAGGTAAGGTTTAAAAGTAAATTAGTTATCACATATGTTAGGGGAGAGCCGGAACGGTTGAAACACTTTTCAGATAAACGTCGTTTTCGAAGATACAGCCAACAGTTCACATTCCGAAAAGTATTCGCGGTGAATATGACCTTACGATTTTTCACATCATATGCATAGACAACAAGACATTCTAACAATAATACTAATTGTTTTGCATCGTTTACTGACATGAAATTTGAATACAGAACACGGTGTTACTCACCTGTCAAGTAAAACACATGCAAGATCGTCGTCTCTTTCTAGTTAGAGTTTTTCCACAAAGTTCTCTCCATTTAGGAAATGCCACACCGATGTTGAGCTGGTTTTATTTATCTTGTCCCAAATTCTTCTTGGGCCATTTGGTTGACCCATTCGTTGACGTTTGCGTTTATGAGACTTGTCTTTGTCGACAGAACCAGGTGCAATCGCTAAAGAATAATTGTGCTCCATTCCATAACAAATGCATGAAACAAGCTGACGTTTGTTGCTTGATAGACGCTAACGCACAACTACAACTTCCGCATTTGTCCAGGACTACACGCAGTACGAGCGGAAACCGAGGTAACGCGGATATGACGCGATTGACTGGCGACTCCCAGCTCACCCCTGCTCACACGCCCCATTTCCTTGGTTAAAATCTCAATTTTCTCGCGATTTAAACATTGTTTGAAACATTTGAGATATTGTGAGTTGTCATCTTAACTAATATATAACACTGGCCTTGTGATTTTGGGATATTTTAATGCCACCTTTAATTGAGCAATTGTTTTTGGTTAGTTGTATTTAATTATTGTTAGAAAGAATTACATGATATTATGGTGTGATTAAAATGTCTAATCACGGCTCATTCTGCTCATGTTCTTGCCATTGTGTAATTAATCTTTTAAGAAAAAATAAAAGAAATAAAGTAAATGAGCTTGACCAGTGAAACATATCTGAAAACCCATTTATAGGAATACTTCCGTAAACTTTTAAAAGCTCAAAAACTGCATAACAGCAATGACCTGCGATATTGTCACGGGAATAAGGACAGAAGAGACAATAGCAAGTAAAACAGGATTTTTTTTTAGTCTATAACCAGGAAGTGATAGAAGGTCTCAGAACAGTCTCAACAGAGAACAGGAACAGAAACCTGGGAAGATTCAGTGGTAGCGCAGGCAGGCAGGCAGATGGACAACTCGATCCTTGAGGTGACGATAAACACGAACGGTGAAACATTTAGCACAGGAACAGACAAAGCCACAGGAACATGAGGAAGGATCAGACACCACACTAGGACACATCCAACAACACTCCGATAACACAAGACAAAATACCATGAGTTTAAATTGCAAACGCTGATCAGAAAGAGCTGGCGCTGATCAATCAGCAGCTGATCAGCGGCTCCGCCCACACACACCCAAATACACACAGCGAATGACGTCGAAACGAAACCCCTCTGGCACAAACAAACGACTTGGTGGGTAACCGGGTGGAGACGTTACCCCTTTTAAAGCTGTATTGTCCTTCGATTCGATCTCCCATGTTTGTGTGGAGATAAATAGTATCTCAGGTAAAATATACCTGGGAGTAACCAGGTGTTCGGATTGGTCAAAAATATGAGATAAAAAAAAAAATCGGATTTGATTTTCTTGGAACGGTACAAGAGGGGAAAATTAAAATGACCGAAAAAAGTCCCCATCAAACCTGCTCAGAGGAGCGGCTAGTTGGCTGACGTTGTGAATAAAACACAGATAGAAGTTGGCAAACCCCAGAAACCCTGTAGGGCCTTACGGGAATCTGGACTTGGCCAATCTATCACAGCCTTAAAGGGGAAATGAAGCAGTGAATCAAGTTTACATGATTTACAAGATGGATTTCCAATATAATCAACAATTATATAAGAAACATTACAAATGTAAACATCTTGAGGTGATGATAAACACGAATGGTAAAACATCCAGCACAGGAACAGACAAAGCCACAGGAACACGAGGAAGGATCAGACACCGCACTAGGACACATCCAACAATGCTCTGATAACACAAGACAAAATACCACGAGCTTAAATAGCAAACGCTGATCAGAAACAGCTGGCGCTGATCAATCAGTGGCTGATCTGCGGCTCCGCCCACACACACCCAAACACACACACAAACACAGCGTGAGAAAGAGTCAGCGAATTCATGAATCGTGACAGATATGTCCTCAATTCAAAGTGCTGGGATGCATTTTTAAACACAGTTTAAGCCCTCCATTAAATTATAGCCCTATACAACTTGTAGTCAAATTAATTATGTTAAAGGAGCTATTTCTCACCCCTCCTCTTGACAGTTTAGCAGAGCATAGTTTGCAGTCTGTTCTAATTTGATCATCATCGCTTATCTTAAAACATCTCCAAATGGCTGACATTAGTTACTAACTCCTCCGACGACTACTTGCTCAACTGATGAGAGGTTAGGCTAATGTCACGTTGCCATAAGGGGCCGTTCACATATTGTGTTTTTTGTGCATGCAGATTTGTTATTTCAAATGTACTGTAGGCGCAGCAAGCGCGCTCATAATAGAAGTGATATGCGCATTCATGGTATTCATTGCATAGCAAGGGAGAGCAAGCGCTTGTGGAAAGAAGGAGAAACATTTTACGGAAACGGTGCGGCCGCACTTTCCACACGTTTTTAGACACGATATGTTGAACGGCCCCTTAAAGTGGTATCGGGTGTGATTGTATAGTTTTACGAGTACATGAGCACAGTATAGGACCGACACCCGGGTACTAGTATTGGTGCATCCTTACTCCATTGAGAGTGAGGAGTCACGTGCCGATTTGGCGCTGGTCGGCCATGAATCATGATGGTAGGAGACGCTATTGGTTGCCGGGGCAATGCCTTCAGAACTTCACAGAGGCGCGACTTAACATTCCAGAAATAGCGAAAGAGAGACAGCGCAGCTTAGTATTTGTTTACATTTTAGCGATACACCGCAGTTTCTTTGGAAGATATGGAGAAGAAAGAGAAAGGAAAGCTGTTCTATTGGGAGAGACTAAATAACAATGCTAGCCAGCTTCATTTACAGAAACTGCTCGTCAATAAACTGTCAGCAGCAACAGCGAGCAAAGCATGATTTCAGAAGCAACACACTTCAGCTCTCAAACAAAAGAAATTAATACTGTTTTTCAACTAGAGTTGTTTAATTTGTTATAGATATATCTGTACCGCAAAATGTTTTAAAAAGACACTTTTTTAATGACACACGACTAAAGGTTTAAAAGGGAATGTCCGATCTGTCAGGTACAAATGAACGTATCTGATTCATATAAGATTTATCTCCACATATGAATGCGGCCTGAAACATCAAGTATGACTGAACTCGTGCAGTTTAACGTTACAGGTTTGGGGGTTTCTAAGTCTTGCACCCAGCCGCAGCAGAATTGTTCATAAGCTTCTAATGACTTAAAGCTTCTGAACTCTTGCATTGTGTAGGCAGTAACGTTAGGCACTGATACCATTAACCAGGTAATTGACTATGTCAGGGTATGTGAAAGGTGGTAGTGCTTTGCGTCTTTCGTCCATTCTGTAGCAGGTCGTACGGGTCCATGTTGTTGATGTCAAGTAGTTTCTCTAAATAACGCTTCTTTGGTGTTGTTATTTAGTCTCTACCGAAAAAAGCCCCTTTCCTTTTGCTTCTTCTCCTTCTTCTTAATTTATTCCCAAGAAACTGTGCCTTATCGCAAAAATGCAAACAAATATCAAGCTGCTCTCTCTCTCTGTCACTATTTCTCTCGGTCTCACTGTCAAAGTAACCATGTATCCTTTCAAGATGGCGACGCCTTCCCACCATGCAACGTGCGTGACGTCACATTCTCACAATAGGTTTATCTCTCAGGTCATCACTTCTGTAATGAGTGAGTTTGTAGGGAAAGAAATTAGCAGAGAACTGTAAGAAATGCAACCTGGAAATTCCCATTGCATCCGTTGTAAGGAGCGAGAGATGGAATATCAATAATTAATTCTACAATTATCTCATCATTAATCTAACGTAATATGTCCTCACGGACCAGCTGTTTGCACTTCCAGAAAGCGTTGACTCGCACAACCTAATGTGCCACGCGCAATCAGTCTCTCATCAGCCGTAATTACAAGTGTTATCAGTCTCTCCCACCCTCCTGCTATATATAGTAATTGTTCATTTTGAGCAAAAGTCACATCATCTTTTTTCATATGTGAAGAAATGCAGTCATTGTTCATATTTCAATTTTATAGTTTTTTTTTCACGTAATGCTCCTAAATGGTAAAATGATTACCATCGCAGAAGGAGGCAATCCAAGTCTTCAAAATAACTATTATTGCTGTACATTTTCTCTCTGCTGTGAGGATATGTTTTTAAAATTGCACTTAAAAGTTGCACATTTAAAAGTTTTTGTTAAAATTCAACTTTTTTACCCCTGAACTAAAGCTCCAGGTATTTTTTTTTCTTAGCCAAATAACTGATTGATTAAAGATAAAGCTGGACTAATTGGGTCTTTTGTGGCCCTGTAATGTCCTCTGTGGTTTCAGAGCGCCGTATTATCTCACTTTCTCTACTTCTCTTCCCCAGAGCAGAGATCGAAATCTCTCTGCGATGACATCCATGTCCCTGCTGAGACTAGCACTGCCACCGCTCGAAAGCACATCCTTCTGTTTGCACAAACCCGTAGTGGCTCCTCCTTTACCGGACAGCTTTTCAATCAACATCCTGGCGTATTTTATGTTTTTGAGCCTCTTTATCATGTGAAACAGGCCTTTACCAATTCTAGTAGCCGTCTACAAAGGGCGTTGGATGGCAGAGCTCTTCTGGGGGCCTACCGGGACCTCCTCCTCAATCTCTACAACTGTGACTTCAGCTTCCTGGAGAGCTACATTCGCCCTGAACCACAGGATCACATGACTGGGACCTTTTTCCGTCGCAGCTCCAGCCATGCCCTGTGCACGCCGCCTGTCTGTCAGGAGGGTGGCGAGGAGATTCTAGCAGGGCAACCGGATGAATCCTGGTGCCCAAAAAAGTGCCAGGCTCTGAACCTCACTCTAGCCTCTCAGGCTTGCCAAGCACGAAGCCATGTTGTAATAAAAACAGTTCGTATTCCAGAGGTAGGCGACCTACGCACGCTGTCAGAAGACCCCCGTTTAGATTTGAGAATCGTCCATTTGGTGAGAGATCCCCGAGCCATTCTTGCATCTCGCATGACTGCTTTTGCTGGAAAATTCAGAGCCTGGAAGATCTGGAACGCCACTGGCCGCCAACCGCGGTACGTGGACCTGACGCAGATAACAAGTACGTGCAGAGATATGGAGTATTCTGTGGAGACCGGCTTGCAGAACCCCACATGGCTGAGAGGGAGGTATCTATTGGTGCGTTATGAAGACTTGGCCTTGAATCCTGAGGAAAAGGTCAAGGAGATATATCGATTTCTAGGGATGGACTTGCATCACAAAGTTCTCACGTGGATTGCTCATAACACCAATGGCACTGTCCCTTCTTCTTCCGATTGGAACTATAAGTACTCCACCTCAAGAGACTCTAAAGCCACAGCTCAGAGTTGGAGAGTACATCTAAACTTTGACATTGTTAAGACAGTTCAATCTTTGTGTAACAGAACTCTTGCCCTACTAGGCTATAAGCTTGTCCAGTCTGTAGATGAACTGAGGAATATAACAAAAAGTTTAATGGAGCCCAGGACTTAGTGAAGTTAACATTTTTGTGAACTACTTATTAATTTTAAAGACACTTTTATCCCAAAGTGACTTATATTGCATTCAATGTATACACGGAACCAAACAGGGCTAATTACTATATTTGGTTACATAATATTGGGTTAATAGCTTCAAATTGTTGTTTGCATACAAGCCATGTAAATCCATGCAACATTATGGATACTGCTTTGGGGGAAATTTAGCTCATGAATAATAATTAGGTTTGTGATTATGATGCTTTGTAACTTTCCTTAAAGGTATAATTTGCCCAAAAATGAAAATCATTTTCTCACCCTCATATTTTTCCAAATATTTATGACATTCTTTATTTTTTGGAACATTAGATATAATGTGTGTTTTTTTGTTTTTGTTTTTTTTTTTCATGCAAAATAAGTCTTTTTGGTTATAACTTTTTTGGTTACCAAACATATCTTGTTTTGGGTAATGCAGGTTTGAAGAAATTTTCATTTTTGGATGGGCCATCTCTTTAAGCGCCTGGTCACACGAAGTAATTAATATTCATGAGTCAGGACTTTAGAATAGCATGATGCTAAAAGAGCATCCACATCATTTTCAGCTTGTAAATGTGCATTATTGTGACCAAAGAATCACTACAGAGTTTCGACAAAAAAAGCACAGCATACTTGCCAGTGACAATGCCAAAGCTGGTCAAATTAAGTCAAGAGCGTGTCATCTGGATGAGCCCATAAATGGCCTTAAGTATGAATGTTGATCAGCGAACATGTCCTTACAACCCTATAAAGAGTCAAGCAGAGATCTAAAATGACTGAAATACCATTCAGCACCATTAAAAACTCATTTTCCATGTAATTTTTAAAAGCAAAGTCCCTAATAAAATCAAATCGGCACAGAAGGTCAAGTTGTTCAGTTTAAATCACTGGCAGACAGTTCAATGTGTTTTCATCCACCTAAAATAATTTTTTAGAAGCCCCAACGTCATAATTGATCTCTCCCTGATGGCATTTGGGAATTTGTAAGCCAGAGTCAGGGATTATTTCTAAGTGCAGTGTCAACATTGGGAAAAGCACTTTGGAGCTATGGAGCAACTTTGCAATTTGTGGATAACAGATATGAAATTACAGTAGGCTATACAAATCAAATTCCTGATTTAATTAATTTGCTATCTCCTGTTCACAGGGCCCCCCTGAGCTTAATTGAGCATGGCTGAAGCTCCTTCGATCCCTTGGGTTAATTTGTCTCTGCTAATTATTGTTTTAGTTCATATAATGGATTAAATTACATCATATTTTGGAAGGTGGGGCTCAAATAAACAAATGCAAATTCTCCAAAATTGTTTTGAGAATAGAAATGCAGATATTATGGTGTGTGGGAATATGGAATTGTGCCTTTAGTGTGAAAATACTCTTGAATTTCATGATGTCTTGGTAACTTTGTGTTGTTGTTCATGCCATACATTAAGCAATTCATTAATTCTATGTGAATCACCTCATTAATCGCTTTTACATTTTGGACAAATGCTGTGTAAACAACTGTTACTCATCTCAGGTATGATGATTACTGTAAATGCAATTCTTCGGCCACACTGCCAGTTAATAAATATGCAGAGAAAAGAGAAAATCTATGGTGAACTAAATTATTCCTCATTACTGTAGGAACCGGTGGTTCATGATGATACATAATGTATTAGTTTCATTTAATAATTTATTTATTACAAATTATTTATGGTAAAAAATTATGCAGGACAACTGTAATGATCGGTTTAGAATGCTTATTTGTCTATGTGTGCTGTCTATGTAATACACAAACACATTGACCTGCCTTTTTATTAATAATTAAGAAGGAATGGTGACAAATAGAAATGAATCACAATCATTGGTTTTGATGTAGTTTGCTGCTTCTGTATGGTATTTTCTATTGTCTGCTTTCACATCAATTTTCTACTTTCTTTTAAAACTTGACATTTGTGGTGTTATGCTGAGGCTGGAGCATTTGGTGAAGTGCTGATCATCTTTTCAACGTCAGCAGTCCAGCTTCAGCTTGGAAACCAAAAAAAGTGAATACCAAGGGATATAGCCATGGTTCAGACTCTTTTTTTTTTGTCAGTTCTCTTTGTTTTCAAAGCACAGATGCCTGATATTCACACATTTAGTGGATTATAGCATTTGGCTTGATGACAGTACTATTTCCTCACATATTGTCATAAGGCTGATACAGTAAGATGGAGAAGTGATGAATCAAAATGATTTGATTAATTAGTAAAGAATAAAAATAAAAATCATAATAAAATTAATAAAAACCATGAATTGTTAAGTAAATTTGTTAATAATAATCAGTTTTTAATAATAAGTCACAACGTAGGCTAACAACAAGTTAAAGGGGTGGTATAATGCCTTTTTCACAAGATATAAAATAAGTCATGTCCCCATAGTGTGTATGTGAAAATAGCTCAAAATACATATATCCACATTTATTTTTATATAGCATGTTCAAATTGTTACTTTTTGAGGGTGAGCAAAAACGCAACTTTTTGTGTCTGTACCTTTAAATGCAAATGAGCTGCTGCTCTTGTCACAGAGGGTGGACAACAGCTCCTGTCCTTTTACCTCACACACAAGCACTGAAAATATAAATAATGTTTAGCCTTCATGTTCATACTGGAGTCAGACAATGATGGAGAGACTCAAGAAGTGACAACATGTAGAATGCAACAGTACATTTCTCAATGGTTAGGTGACGAATTTATGTTGCTGTTATGCAGTTAACTATCTTCTAGTCATCGATTAACATATTCTGTCATGATTATCTATAAATCGTGTTCCTGAGGGTGGGGTTTATGTAAATTATAGGGTTGGTGATGTCTCTAACCCAGGAATGTCATGCACTGTAAAAAATTTCCGTAAAAATACGGTACAATGTACCATATAAATTTGAAGGATTTTTTCCGTATTTGTCTTTTACCCTTATTTTGAATTACGCGTTGCATTGTGGGAACAAGATCCTGGCGGCGCGAAAAGTTTAAGCGGACCACGGGCAAAGTTGCTTTTTAAAGCCGGATTTCGGGTGTGTGTGAGTCTCTACCATCCGTTTGTTGTAGTCCTTTATAAACGATTTCTTTAAAAGCAAATATCTTCCTTTGCTTTAAAGCTGTGTAACTTTGCGGATGTTGTTAATGCTCAAACAGCAACATTACACACTAACTAAAGTTAGAAAAGTGAAATCATAATCAACCACCCCTTTAACTAAATTTCTCTGAGTAAAATAAAATTGCCAGAAGAGTAAAGGAAGAGATAAAGAGATCAATGTACTGTATGAGCAATGACTGTACGTGCCAATATTTAGGGCATATGCTGCCTGTACAGAACAGGAACAAATATGCTTATCATGTCAAAAATATTTTCTTAGAAATTAGCTCTGGCTTCTTGGTATCACAGTGTAACCTAAGTGTAGCTAAACATTATATGGTTTTAACACTATTGAAACAGAACAAGCCAAATTAGCCTTTTCAACATGGACTTTATGCTAGGCCTACTCACTTTTGTAAAAAAAAACTCATGTGACATTTGATATTAGACTAGATACCAGACTTTGCAGAGGAATATATCTAGATAGATAGATATAGATAGATAGATAGATAGATAGATGATAGATAGATAGATAGATAGATAGATAGATAGATAGATAGATAGATAGATAGATAGATAGATAGATAGATAGATAGATAGATAGATAGATAGATAGATAGATAGATAGATAGATAGATAGATAGATAGATAGATAGATAGATAGATGGATAGATGGATAGATAGATAGTGATCTTAAAATCTGGCTCATGAGAAAGCATCGTGAGTAAATGGCTGCAAAAACACCTTTAGACACGGATACTGCGAGATGAGTCATTATCATCCAAAGAAAGCCCAACTAAATGTAACCAGTGGGTTCTATGTCAGGAGGATATACTTCTATCCAGAGTCTGAGGGGTTAACAGCACCCTGAGGGAGTAATCCTCCCTCATTTACAATCACTCTCAACCCTGCAGCTGCTGACTGCAGGGTTATTTCTCAGAGGCCCTGAGAATATATCCATAGAAGAAACTCAATAGAAACAGGATTTAAGATGGAGGGAGAAGAGAAGCCATCTCTCTTTGAACTTAATCTGCAAAGGCAACACAAACAGGCAATAAAGCAGAGTTTATGACACCCTCTGAGAACTGTTTCATTGGCTTTTCCATCGTGCCCTGACATACAAAGACACCAGCCGCCTGAGTCAGCCACACAGTTAATCGCCCATCTCTTCGGCCAATATCAGCCCCCTCTGTCCCTCTTAACCCCGCTGACAAATTTAGACCTCAGAGGATGGCGGTAACAAATGTTCAGAGCAAATCCACAATATGTGGGGGTGTACAGTGTGCTTTTGTGTATAATATATTAGCATGAAGATATGGAAGTGAAGTGGCCACATGTCAAGAGTCTAGCTCTGTTGCAGAGAGAGAAACTATATAGGGAGAAAATCAACCTGCTCTCCACGGATGACTTTTCTCAGAAAACCGATCACATAAAGGTCAGCTACGGATTTGTGGGGGAGGAAAATAAAACTGCAGAAATCATGAACAAGAGAAATGTACTGTATGTAGCAAAAGTTGCACAAAATGTCACTATATTAACATATTTTAGACTATATTTCTTTTACATCCAGAATGCAGACTGCTATTTTGTGCTTTGCTTGGAGCCTGCCATTTAATAGTTTATAGAATGTGTAAAATTGTGTTTTTTTTTTACACGGTAGAAATACTTTTAATACTCTTAAATAAAATTTCAATCGTCATTTGAAATACATTTTTGCTAAGCAGTCTAGCCAACAGTTTTCTTGATGCATATACAGTTGAGTCCAAAAGTGTAAGTCCACCAATGAAGTGTACAAAATTTTACATTACAAAATACTGTATATTCATTGCATAAAACTTTTAACTAAATGAACTAAACTCTCATTTGTTTATTAGATAGACTAATCTTTCTCCTTCTTTATTAAAATCCCAGAATTTGAATGTGATTCGAGACTTTTTGACCCCACTGTGCAGTCTTCAGTTAGATAAAGACAGGGCAACCATTTTTATTGAAATTAGTGATGAAGCATAATCTAATCAATCCAAAAATTGTGAAATAAATCCAATATTTTCTGCCCCCTCCATCATACTCAATGCAACTCCATCCATCTCATTCTCAGATTTTCAATATCCACTGTACAACTTAAGATGAATAACTCTCCAAGCTAACTGTACTTTAAACTGTGATTCACTAAAACTGATTTGACAAGTGCCGTGAAGGCAATAAGCTACAAGAGGGGTACAAATAAAAATATGTCATAAACAGCCAAGACATAACTGTCATATCATTTTTTTGTATAACAATATTGGTTTGAGAAAAAAAGTTTTCTCTCTAGCTCATCTCAAACTGATATGTCTGAAAAGCTGTACAAAATGGATTCAGTACCCATGAGGAAAGCATAGCCTAAGACTTTCAAATTGCCTTGTTCTCTCCGTCTGCGGAGGTAAATCATAAGTTCATATAATTAAAATAATGAATGCTCAATTGACGCCCCTCAGGTGCCATTTGCTTGAAATTTCGTGTGATTGGGGCATGAGACAATTGCTGAAGCAATCCTACACAGCGAGGAGTAATTAGCCATATTACAATTTGCAGTAATAGGCACCATAAAATTGAATCCCGAACACTCTCTATATTTCATGAGCCAGTATCTTTTTATAGTGTCTAGTGGGCCCAGGGCCATAGGAGGAGAGCATGATGTTTCAGTGCTAAAAAAGGAGAGAATCTAAGTGCAGGAATGGAAGAAATGCAGCTTGAGAACAGGACCGGGCGGTAAAGGGGTGTGTAGGTGTATGTATGTGTGCGTGCGTGAGTTTGCATGTGCATATACGACTATGCAAACTTAGCATCTGTTCTGTTAGTGTGTTTTTCACCCTCACTTTCACTCCTCCCACACTTTATTTTCTCTATAAATCACATTCCAGGCCTTTCTAGAATTTTTTTCCTTCATAAAACAATGATTACGCGTCAATTTTGCAAAGCGTAATATTCTCCAAAGTGCAGATACAGTACCTATAGTGAGTAAATGTCTCACTCTTTCTGTCAGTATATATCGGTAGATTAAAAGCTGTAATTTGTGTTTTTACAGTAAATGGCACGGTTAAGCAGCCACTCATTCTCACATGCTCAGTTTCAACCATTATATCAAGAATTGCATATGTGTCAAAAATAGCTAAGCTGCAGCGTCATATGCGTGTGAACTGCAGCATGCAATGAGACATTCTGCTTCATGAGATGCATGCTCATTCTGACAGCATAGCAGTCTGTTTCCCTATATTGCCCCTTGAAATTTTAACCTCCTTGTTGCTTGATATGCTTGGGGTTTTTTTTTTTGTTGTTGTTGTTTTGCACAAAACACTAAAGAAAACTGACAGGATTTTTTAAAAAGTAGATTTGATAGATAAAATATTGTATTCAGAGTGTTACTGTAAATCAGGTTAGGTTATTTTCTTTCATAAACAAATTACTATAAAAACAATAATATATTATATATACTGCATTGTACAATAATAGTGTGAAGACTATCGTTTGAAGTCGCCATTATGATGACTATGTTCCCTTTGGCTGGGAAGTTAAATGTACTTTTATTAATTTACTCCCCCAGCAGATGTCACAGAACACAATTGGTTCCACTGTATTACATGGAGAGAATAAGCTCTGATTATATACCAACTTGACATCTACAATATAAATGGGACTATTATATATTACAGAAACAATCTTTTATAAATAAAATATAAGGGTTGCTGAGGTATTTGCAATGCTGTTGAGCTGAGTGGTAGTTTTTCTTGTAAACTTTAGTATTGTCAACCGGATATGCAAAGTTATAAACACTTGCCACATGAAACTCATGCAGAAGTGCATGTTGCAAGTCTATTGTTAAGAAATGTCTGCATTTTAAAAGGAATATTCATGGAATAATCAGTTCGAGGATTGATCTGTGCCTTGAAAATTG